GGGGAGGGGGTGGGGGGTCCCCGGGATGCGCTCACCCCGCTCCCGGGACCCCCGAGGGTCTCAGTGACTGGGGACTGAGGTGCCCCCCCCCACCCTTCTCACCCCTTTTCTTTCTCTCTGCTCTTTTTAAAAAAAAATTTCCCTTTTTCCGGTGGTTTGGTGTTGTTCCCCTCCCCGGTCCCTTGGCAGCCGGAGCCCCTCGGGGTGGGGGGAGGTCGTCCCCCATCCCTGTCCCCCCCATCCCCGTCTTTGCAGTTTGACAAAACGTCTTTCTATGATCTGGACATTAACGACATTTGAGTCCATCACACTCCTCCATCCCCGTGCCCTCCAGCCCCCCGAGGGTCCCTCGGGGGTCTCTGGGTACCACCATCCTGCTCGGGACCAGCTCCGTGCAAACCTCTCCCTCCAGCTTCTCGGTGGTTCCTGGGCTGCCTGGTCTGACCAGCACCGTCTGGGGGGTGGTGGCCACCGTGGGAGCAACTTCCAGACAGTGGTAACCAGTTCCTTGGCCTCGGAGGTGCCTTCCAGACAGGAGTGACTTGGTCCTGGCAGCACTTTCCAGTATATGGGAGCTGGTTGCCCAGTCGTGGGGGCACCTCCCAGGTGGTGGTAACTGGTTACCTGGTGATGGAAGCATCTTCCAGTCAGTGATAACTGGTTGTCTGGACATGGGGAACACCTTTCAGGTCATGGTAACTGGTACCTGGCTATCCCTCGCTCACAACAGCCTGTGGCAGCTTAATTTTTTAGGGACGCTGCGGGACTTCCACATGGAATTCAGCGTAGGGTAAAGTAGGGAAGCACCAGCCAAGGCTCTTGTGCTTTTCTCGTGGCTTTCCCAGAAAAACCATCTGGACCCTTTTCCCTGTGAAGCTGTTGTTTGAGTGGATCCACGTGACATCCTTCATGGCCTCCAGGCTTCCTTGCCGCTGATATTCCTCACAAATTCCTTATATCCTCTCTCAAGACCCTTCACAAAGTAGCATCGCCTCAGTCCCTGAGCTGGGGCTGAGCACGGGGGCTGTACCTGGTTGTTCATCAGGTTCAGCTCTGTGTCTTTATTACTCTTGTGCACAGTCTGGTCCTAACAGTTGTTACTATTTGTTTTCAAGCTCTTTACTCTCTCTGAGGTGATTGTCTCATGTCACCCCAACATTTAAATCCTTTGATGTACACACGGAGGTGAAATCTTCACTTCGTTCTTGTTGCTGCTGTACCTGCTGCCAGGGTTTGCTGCACAGACACGTGGGGAAGTGCAGTGCCTTGCACCGTTTTCCCTTTTCGTGGTTGCACCACCATCCTGAACTTGGTGGTTTGTCTCTGCCCTCCCCTGGCTGTGCCATCCACACTCAGGGACACTCTGCTCACAGCATCTCATCTAGTTATGCGTCTTCAAGTCTGAGAACCAGCAGTCAGTTATTTATCCATGTAACTGCCCCTTGGAAATAATTTTAGCCTTTTTTTGTCCTTCTGATTCCTGTCGGACACCATCCTGGGTCACCTCACTGTCTGAAGGGAGGCACACAGGGAGTGGAGTTCTCGTTCCTCTTGCTTCTGTGGAGATCCTGAACCCAACTCCACCACAGCCACCGTCTGTGAAGCATCTCTTTGGCAGCACTATCCCAGCCCAGGTCCTGTGTGACGTTCAGAGCACGGTTAAGGGCATCTTGTGGCTTTGGACTTGCATGTGGCTCCTTGAGCTTCACCTTGGCACGGGGCTGGTGACACCCTGGAGTGGTATTTGGACGAGGATGTTGGGATTTCCTCTGTTCTGTGCTTCCAGCCTCATTGAGCTCCTGTAACACGGGTCACTGTTGCAGGGCAGCCTCCACTGTCCCTTTGGCACTTCCCATCCAGATCTTTGTCTTCCTGGAGGCCTCATACCCATGTGTTAGTGTCTACCTTCTGCTCAGCTTCTGAGAACCAAATCATTATGGCCTTATAATACCATTAGTGTCCCAACTTCTGGGTTTCCAGCTCTTCTTGGACTGGTAGCTCCTGTGTGTGTGTGTTCTGGTTCCCTCCTGCCCTGTTCTGTGTGGAGCTGCTTGTCCCAGCTGTTCACTTTCTCCTTTATTTTGCTAAAACATGTCCTGTTCTCCTGAGGACAGAGCTCCTCCACCCTGACCCACAATGTCCAGGGTCTTTTTCTCAGCTATTGCCTTTTTCCAAAACCCCTGCTTGAGGAGTAGGTGATGGTGGACAATCATGGGTGTCTGGATCTGAAGGTTCTGGTGACTCTGCTGTGCATGTCCAGGGCCTGCGCTCCCTGAGCGTGACAGTGTCTGCTCCTCCTGGGAGACAGCAGTGTGGAATGGAGGAAGGAATGCTTGTAGGCATGAGTGCTTCCAGCAGCCCCTCAGTGTGGGGGGGGTTAAACCAGAGGCAGTGGTTTTGTTTAGCAGGGCCCTTTCAGCTCACAGTTGGACACTTTCAGAGCTTCTCTGTTCTGTGTCTGCAGGTGACCGAGAGCTTCCTCAGCAAAGAAGTCACGTACGTGGTGTCCAGCAACAAAGAGGCCAAACGGGACAGAGCCAGGACTGGGGATGGGAAGCAGAGCAACCCGACTTCAAGAGACACCAAAGCCACGAGCTCAGGGCCTCCTGCCTCCAGAGGGAACCCACCCAGACCTCACCAGAAGCCACCAGACACTGTAAGAGCTGTAAAGGCTTTGGCCACCTCCAAGTTCGTGCCAAGGGGTCCCAACACAACCAGTGTTGGGAGGTGAAGTCAGTCCTGCTCTGGGGTCTTTTGCCCTGCTCTGGCTGTTCTATTTGTACCCGTGTTCCTTTTATCTGCCATCATTCTCCTCTCAAATGTGCATGTCACAGCTTTGGGCTGGGATCAAGGAAATCTGCTGGAATGGCAGAGGAAATGGAGGGCTTGGCTGGCTTTCCCAGGGAAGGGCAGAGGTGTGGCTGGAAAAACCAGAGAAGTGTTGACCAGATAAAACCACTGCAGGCTGTGGATGTGTATTCACAGACACAGGGCAAGGCCTCTGTAACCTGGGAGGAGATCCACAAGGGATCTCCTCCAGCAAGGGGTTTTTCTGGATCTTGTTTACCCTGTCAGAGCTGGGCTTTCTGCTGGGCAGTGCTTGAGGCCAAATGCCAACATCCCTCTTGGAAAGTGGAATCTGCTGGAAGCTGTGACTGGGGAGAGGCTGCTGCCCCACTCCAGGCCCGGGGCATCTCTGCCAGCCTGGAGCTGGACCCCTGCAGTGGGAAACCTGAGCCTCAGGGGCTGCACCCAGTCCCTGCCCTTGCTCACAGCACTGTCCCCTTGAGCTGAACTGGGGAGCTCTTGTCACCAAGAGCTGAACTGGGAGCCCACTGGCTTGCCAGTGAGACTCTGTTCCCAGGAAGGGAAGCAAGAATGTTCCTAACCCTGACCAGCATGCTGGAGAAAAGGAGGCTCAGGGGGCATCTTACTTGTTCAACTCCTTGACAGAGGGTGGAGCCAGCTGGGGGTCAGTTCCTTCTCCCAGGTAATAAGTGACAGGACAAGACTGAATGGCCCCAAGTTGTGCCAGGAGAGGTTCAGGCTGGATATTTGGGAAAATTTCTCCACTGAAAGGGTTTTCAGGCCTTGAAACAGGCTGCCCAGGGCAATGGTGGAGTCCCCATCCCTGGAGGGATTTAAAAGCTGTGTGGATGTGGCACTTGGGGACATGGGTTAGTGGTGGCCTTGGCAGTGCTGCAGGAATGGTTGGACTGGATGACCTTAGAGGGCTTTTCCAGCCTGAACAATTCCATGATGCAGCAGCAGTTTCCAAGCTAAATCACTGCTTCCTCTTGGCTCACTCTGGAGCCTTCACTGCTGGTCGATAATTCCAGGCCTTGGCTGGTGCTGTGAGTGCAGAGCCAGTGGGGCTCTGCGGGTTTGCTCCCTGCAAGTGCTCATTCCCACCGGCTGTGAGAGGAGCCTTGGCCAGGCCCTGCTCCCCAGCAGTGTGGGGGTGTCCCCAGGAATCATTCCCACTGCCATAACCTGGGCTGTGTCTCCTCTCTCCAGGCCCTGCTGAGCCGGGGGAAGGAGCTGCTGCAGAAGGCCATGAAGAACCAGGTGAGCAGCACGTGGCCAGGCTCCCCTCAGGTGGGGTGTGCTCAGAGCTCTGCTGAGCGGTGCAGAACCAGTGCCAGCCCTCCTGCAGAGCCCCTGCCCTGCTGACAGGGCACATCCTGGGGCCAGGAAAGGCACGGAGCAGTTGCTTGTGGCCTGCAGAATGTTGTGTAATCCTCCTGTCACTGCTCCTCGTGGAGCTGTGCCATCTGTCCTGGATGGGCGACATCCAACCTCTGAGGCCTGTCCCAGCAATCTGGGCGCTCAGGACAAGAGAATTATTGTTAGATGAATTTTTAGCCTAAAAAGAACTAAAGCCACGTAGCTGGGACAAAAGGTTCCCTGCAGTCCTTTCCCTGATGTCACTCCAAACCAATCTCAGTGCCCACTTAGAAGCTCATGCTGTAACAGGGATTAAAAATTTGCCCCAGGTGCTGCTGTTAATTTGGGATTGATAAAGCATGAGTTCAAACCTTTTCTGCTGTGCCCTGATTTTAATAACAGCTTTGCAGTGGTCTGTCAGTTGGGCAGCAGGAAAAAAAACCCTAAGTCTAAGCTCAATTTAGAGCTGCACATGTCCCTGCTCTGAGCTGTGCTTTGCCAACCCTCTCTGTGCAGGACACCTGCAGTGGCAGCAGCATCCTCGCCAACGCCCGCCTGTGGGGAGTCCAGATCCTGCACGTGGATGGTATCCTTAACTGGGGGTGGAACAAGGCTCCTGGAAATCAGGGATCTGTGAGACAGGTGGAGCAGGAGTGATGTCAGGAGTGTGTAACAGAAGGGAGAGGCTGCAAGCAAATATACTGGGCTGATGCTGTGCTGGCTGAGGCTGGGTCTGCCCCCCAACAGCAGTTAATTTTGTGTACAGAACATCCCCCTGTCAGCAGCAAACATGGGGTACATCCCATGTACTGAACCTGTAATATTAGAAAATGTTGATAGCTTGGTCAGTGCATCAATTTGCTCCAAAAAGACCATTTTTACTAATTAACCTGGAAGCACAGATCACGATAAGGGCAGGGTTTGGTCGGTTTTAATTAGGCAGTGCTGGTGTTTGAGGGCCTGTGCTGGAAGGCTCTCCCTGTCCCCGTGATGGATGGGGAGGGGGTGATGGGAAAGACAGATGGTGGGACTCTGGTTCTAATAATAGGTCTGGAGTAAAAGGTTCCTGAGTGTCTGGTGACAGTGACATACAGCCTGTCTGGAGCTGCTGCCCTGTCCCTGAGCTCTGCTGAGCCACAGAGCCTGGCAGGGCTGGCAGACCCGGGGCTGCTCTCTGTGCTGCAAACCCCTGCCACTGCTCTCTGCAGAGCCCCACAGCCTCCAGCTCTGCCAGAGAGCAAAGGGGGGGCTGTCCCTCAAAGTGTCTCTTGGCTTCATCTTGGGCCAGTTCCCTGGGTGGGGGATGGATTCTCTGCCAGGGCTTCAGCATTCCCGGTGCCGTGGGCACTGTGCTGAGAGGGGAACAGCTCCCTGCCCTTGCTGAGCTCTGGCTCCTTGACATCCCACCTGCACAGAAATGTTGTCCTATGCCCAGCAGCTGCTGGGAGCCATCTCAGGAGTGAGGAAACGCTGCCAGAAGACGGAGGTAACAACTTAACTCCAGCCAATTTCGTGAGCTCACGGCCCCTGGGTAGCTCTGAACAATCCTTGTAGCTCCTCCAGAGCCAATGGGCCAGTCAGGAGGGTGATCCAAGTGCTGGATCCCATCCAGCACTGGGCAGTCTAGTACTTCTGTTTGGTGAGGGAGATGACAAAATTCAGAGAATTTTTCCTTTTATAAAGTTGAGGGTAAAGTCAGATGAGAATGAGGCAGCTGTTTGATAACTATCAACATCTGTAGCACAGCTAATCCTGATTTTGGCTCACAAGGGACAAAGGGTTTGTCATCTTCCAACCTCAGATGGCAACTCGACCCCACAGAGTCACTCTCATCCCCCCAGGTGGGATTGGGAGAGAACTGGGAGAGGAAAAACTGAGAGAACTCATGGATTGAGATAGAGATGATTTAATAGGGAAAGCAACCAGCCACACACGCAAGCAAAGCAAAATAAGGTGATGTGGCTGATAAACAAGGATTTTTAATGCCTTGGGGAGGTCAGGGGGAGGGTGGGATGCAAGGCCTGTGTGTTCTATTTAAACTAAGTCTGGGTAACTTGGGAGACAAAATGAGGGGAGATGTTCTGGGTGGTGATGCAGGAACTCTAGGGTGGTGGGTGAGGCTGCTGCTGCTCTGGGATGAGGAACTGCAGCTCTGCCTGTGCTGTTCCCATGCTAAATGTGTCCCTTTCTCCTCCAGGGGAAATGCTTTGCCTCTGGATCCAAAATTCACAAAGGTAGGCCTGGAAGTTGTGCTCCTGTTTGTGCTCAGATGTGGAACTGCTTGCAGAAGCCTCATTTAGAATTTGAAATCCATCTGGAGCTTCAGCAATCCCAAAATATGCCAACTCTTATGGCAGTTTGCCTTGAAGGGGTTCTGTTACTCCTTGTCAGAGTGGGAGTGGCTGCAGCCACAGCTGAGGACCTTTGATTTCGGGGCAGTGTTCTTAAAAATCCCGTAAACCCTTTTCTGCCAGCTCCCAGAATCCTGAGGCACCTGAGAACCGTGTTGTTGCACACTGAATCCAGCAGCTCAGAGGAGGTTTCGAGGAATATAATGCATCCTACAGAGGAGAGCGTGTTCCTCCAGCCCACTCACTGCTGTTGGGCTGAGATGTGCTGCTGAGACACCGAGCCTGGGAGAACGCTTCCAAAGGGAGGAGGGAGGGGGGAACAACCAGGTCCTCATCTGCAATTAGCCCAGAGCCAATTGTGGGGCTGAGATTGGCACTGCTGACGTCAGCTCATCTGGGCCGTGTGGGACTCCGCGCTGGAGAGCGAACGCGCGGGAACGTCTCGGAGCAGCCTCTGACCTGGACTGTGTGTGTGACACTTGGGAGGTTATTTCCCACTTTGGGGTGGGGAGAAGGTGCTGAAAAAAGGCTGGAGAAGCCGTTGGATAAGGCAGATTGTGCTGCAGGCTCTGAGCTGTGGCACGCTCTGAGCCTGGCCTGGGGACTCACAGTGACAGCAGAGCTGTTTGCTCGGGCCTGTGCACCCGCCTGAGCTGGAGCTGGGGCCTCAACACGGCCTCACCCTCAGAAGTGCTGAGCATTTGGCAGCATTTACGCAGGAAAAACTCGATCCAGCACTGAAATAGCTGCTGGGCTGACGTAGCAGCACATTTAATGCAAGTGGAGGGTGAGGCTTGAGGAGCTGCTGGTGAGGACAGGTGGGCTCAGCCTTTCTGGGGAAGGAGGGTGAAATATCTCTGGAAAAAATAGCTCTGAGTGCCAGGATCATGAGAAAACAAACCTCCTCGCCCTTCAGAGGCAGCGAGGGAGGCAGGAGAGGCTTGGTTTCAGGGTCAGGCAGACTCCCTGTGGGAACACCTTGGGGCTTATTTGTTTCTTAGCCAGATCAGTACTCAGGTTTCCAAGGTGAGTAATGTTATCACTTATGAGAGGAACATACCTGTGGGACAGGAGGGACCTGGGATCTTCTTCCCCCAGCCTGGCTCTGAAAACCTTTTCCCTCAATGCACTGCTGAGGCTCTTCTGCTCCCTTCATGTATTTTATGCCTCTGTAGGAAGCAAAGCTGCTGTTTGCCCTCCTCAGGGACGAGTGAAGGCCAGATTCTGCTCTCGAATAGTGTTCTGGTGCCAGGCTTGGCTGTGCAGCACCTTGGTTTGTCTCCAGCAGCTCTTACTGCTTTGATTTCACCATCCTGGCCTGAGCTGGTTTGAGCTCCAGGCTCTTGTGTCAGGGTGGGTGGAGGAAAAGGTGAGGGAAGGTTGGTGCAGAGCTCTGAGCCTGTGCTGCTGCTGCTGCAGTTTGTTGCTGGTGACCTCCTCCCTCGTGTGCCGTGGCCACATCAAGGAGAGGATGTGACAGTTCTTAGGGCTCGAGTCAGAAGGCTCAGGGTTGGGCCAGTGTAAGGCTGGGGAGGCATTAAGGGTGTGAGGGTTGGCTGGTTGCTTTTCCAAAGCTGGACATGTCCCATTGTTGGGCTGCTTTGGGGTTTGGTCCCCCCACTGCACACTCTGAGGGCTGTTGAAGAATCACCCAAAGAGCTGGTTTGGCTGTGCTCAGCCATCACTTGGCATTCACCTGTGTCAGAAGTTCTGATGAGCTCAGCTCTGTAGCCCAGTTCTGTTGGGAAATGAGTGACTAAATTGGGAATTGGGTCAGGAAAACTTCTAACCACATTTGTCTCTAGGAGGAAGGCTGAAGCCCCCTTTTCTGAAGGTTGAAGACCAGAGCAGGTAAATGTGACCTTTCTAAATAACATACCTTAAAACCTGGGGGGCTCCCAGGGAGGGAATCCTTCACTGGTTTCATTCCCAGTGACTGTTCTGCCCACAGGGCAGACCCTGTTCCACACTGGGAAGCTGACCCTCTCCTAGAGGGAGGCAGGTGGAGTTTGGAGAAACAATCCAGGTGGCTCATGTGTCAGGGGGAAAAAAGGTGTTAAACGAGACTTGACAACAGTTTCCTTCCTTGCTCGGGTTCCATGTGTGATCCTTGTCAGGTCACTTAATCCACTCGAGCCCTGTGCATTGAGGAAGGAGATTGAAGCACAGGAGGTCAGGGCCTGTAACTTGATTACAGCCCTCAGCACAGGGGACCTAATCCTGTGGTGTTTCTGACAAGCCTGTAACTCTAACAGTATCCACTGGGCCAATTAATTATCCGGAAGGCAACACTTGGGGTAGCTCAGAGTCAAATGTTCAGTTTTATGTGCTGCATGCACTGAAGTGTGAGGGGAGAGATGTGGTCTGGGAACCAAAACCATCCCGTGCTGCTGTAGCTGGAGATGCTGCCCTGCTGTGCCCCGGGGCAAAAGGTGGGGTTTGGCTGGGCAGGCAAACCTGCCTCCTGCCCAGAACATGCCCCATCAGGGCCATTACTGGAAATCTCGTTTAAGAAAGGGCAGTTCTGGCACAGCCAGAGGAGAGCAATGGGCAGTGTCTCTTCATAAATGGGACAGCACCTTGAGCCCCTCTGTGGGGGGGACAGCTCTGTGACCAGGCTGTCCCTGCCAGGAGACTGATGTCCTCATCTGCTGCTTTAGGCAATTCCGGCCCTTCCATCACCAGTTCCAAAGCTTTCCCGACCTGAACTTCCTGGCTCCCAAAAGCTCCAGCCCATTTGAGCCTCTGAAAAGCCTCTCGAATTCCTGCCAAGCCAGGTAAGATGTAGCTCCTTCTGCACAAGTTTTTAACCCAACTCCTTCTCACTGATGGTTCCTGGGATCTGGGAACCTGCTGCCTTCTGGATGTGGGCACAGGGAGCCCTGTGCTGGGTTCAGAGGCAGCACAGTCCCTGCTGGTGCTGCCAGGGCAGGGTGACCTTTGCTGTCCCTCCCAGGGGGGCAGGAGGCTGTGCCCTGCGCAGTGACGGAGGGAAGAGCCCCCGCTCCACCCCAGTGCCCAGGAAACGGAGGGGATTCTGTGAGTGCTGCCAGGAGACCTTCGAAGAGCTGCACAAGGTAAAGGTTCCCCTGGCATCCAATTCCTTGCCAAAGTTATGGGGATCACTCAGTGGCTTTTCTCAATCATGTCATGCCCGTTAGCACCATGAACTCCTTCAGAAGGAACTGTTGTATCCAGGTTGTATCCCTTGTGGTATCCAGTAGGATCTGCCTTGTAGATGGGAACATGGTATATCTCTGCTCTGACCTGGTCTGGGCACACTGTTTTTGAAGATTGGAGCATGACATGCTCATCTCTTGGGCTGGGAGAGCCTCAAGAATCAGCCTGTTCCCTGATCCATAAGGTGAGGAGCCTGTTCCATGGCAGTCATGGGGCACAGGCAGATTTAAAAGTTGGGAAAAGGGTTTTTTATCTCCTGGAAGGTGCCAAATAACATGGCTTTCAGAGCCCAGCCTTCATTGACAGACAGTCTTGTTGGAGTCTCTGTCTTCCCTGCTGCTGGGGAGGCTGTGGCTGCTGTTGGGTGTGGACACAGCCTCCTCCTCCAGGGATGTCTGGGAATGGGACCCCCGCACAGCCAGGGGGGACTGTGGCCAAGGGGTCCAAACCTGCTCCCAAACAATGGCTCTAGTTTGCCCTTTAGTCTGTCAGGCTGCGGGAAGTGCCTGTTACTGCAAGTTCCCCTCCTGGGAAAGTTTTAAATGTTGCTAAAGGGCCTCTGCCCCCCTCCAGCACCTCCAGAGCCCCCGGCACCAGCGCTTTGCCCGGGATGACTCCCAGTACATCCCCGTGGATCGTGTCATCTCACAGATCACCAACAGCTTCCTGCAGTGCTCAGACAGGTAAGTCTGGGGGTCTGGTAACTCCTAGAGCCCAAAACAGCAGGATGCTGCATGGCACACTCATGGGAATGGGGTCCCTGTGCCAGGGAATTGGGCAGCCGGAGCAGAGGCTGCAGCAGGACCAACCTGGACCTGCCAGGTGAAGCTTAGACAAACCATGGGAGCTGTTCTTGCATTTCCATGGGTTTTCTGCTTCAGGGAACTCCCCATGAACTTCTAGTGCCTCCTAAACTACAAAAGGGCAGCTGAACCCACCCCTTCTGTCCCCATGTCTGACACCCCACAGCTCCGTAGCAGCCCTGTGCCCAAGCCCTGGGCTGTGGGGAGGCTGAGATCCCTTGTGCTGCCCATCTCCCCTGCCAGCAGCAGTGTTACTGCTGAGCCTCACCAGGCTGAAATTCCTCCCCTGCTCCTGAGCAAGGGCTGCAAACACCCTGTGCTGCAGGAGAGGCCTCGTATCACTGGGGGAGGGTGTTGCTGGGCCTGGATGAGCATTAACTGATGGTTCTTCTCAGGGTGCCACAGTCCTGCCTGGCAGATGAATATTTATTGCCTCAAGCACATGGTACTGGAGGAGTGGAGATGCTGACAGAGCTGGGAAAGGAAAGGGAGCAGCCTGAGCAGGGTGCTGTGGAACTGGTAATGGATATGGAGCAGGATCACGACCTGAAGATCAAGGGATGTTCCACCTGCCTGCCTGGGGACAGGGTCAGAGATACCAGAGAAGGAGGGGGGCTGTCAGAACACAGCTCTGTGGGGCTGCCCAGGGGAGCAGAGCTCAGGGGAGGGGTCTGTGCTGCCCCTGGCACCACGGAGGGGGCCGGGCTGGGGGGTGCAGGGCTGGGCTCGGCCCCTACCCTGGGCTGGGGATCCTGTGCAGGGGCTACTCCTGTCACACAGGCAGTTACTCCTACATCTGAACCTCGTGGCCAGCAATTGCCTGGGTCTGTGAGCCACCCCCCAGAGGCACTGCCTGTCCCCAGGAAGCGCCTGCTGTCCCCTAGCCAGAGCTGCCAGGTGGGGAAGAGGCCCAGGCTGGAGTGGGGGGAGCAGGAGGACCCAGTGCGTGGTGGGCTGGGGGCACAGGGTGCAG